TTTTTTTCCCGTGATTTCACCATGCTGTTCGTAATTGCGATGTTCGGAGCCCAAAAAAATCGGTGAGAAATGTCCTGGGTGGTATTATCGCGACCCTAACTGTGTGGTTATTAGGCTGGTGTATTCCCCCGTTTGTAGGAGTGTGTATGCGTGTGTACAACGTCGGGTCCTATATACATATTTATTAATACATGGTAAGTTAAAAGGATAATGCATACAAAAGTGGTGAAGCTCTGGAGAGCCGAAGCTCCCTATAATAGGAGTATTAGTTAAATAGAAGTAGGTCGCAGTGGTGGGTGGGTAGTGGCGATCCCGGCGATGGGGAGAAGTGCTTTTATACCCCAGGGAACAAAGATCGAGAGTTCAATGAGGGTAGGGTGGTCAAAGTTTGAACCTTGGGCAGGGGTATTGTGTCATAGTAACGCAATTGTTCTTTAACCTACTTTTAGAAAAAAACCATTAATCATTATTTGATATATTATACGACAGTACTTGGGGATAGTATTTATGAGAATGCCATACATGCAGAATATAGGTGCTTCAGTAACGGTGTGGAGCACAGGCTAACAGCTGATGCAGTAGTTTAGCACTTCGCGTCTGGATGTGAAGAGGAGTGATTCGATATCTTTCACAAAACGCATTTGTAGAAAAGCTATGTTCGCATGAAAGGGTTGTGTCTGCCACTGCGCGATACTTTGCATGTGCTCAGAAAATCAATATAATTGTCAAAATTGACCAGATTTTTTCAATGTAGAACTGCACTATCTGGGCAGTTCGTGCATATGCAGCGTGCAGTTCATCTGAGCTTGTCACAAGTTTGTGTTGACTCTACTTTGCATAAGTATATCGTCTCTTTCAATGTCGCAAACTTCTCATTTTTACTTTTTTTTTTAATTTTTGATTACGGCCTGTGATTTGATGTATTATTATAGATCGTATCCAGTCACATCGACGGGTGCTGGACAGCAGCGTATTCGAGTTGCACGTGCTGTTGTAGCGGATAGAAATGCTGCTGTGGATGAACCAGGGTTAACGCATGCTGATCCGGCGCGACATGCATCAGCAGGGTAAATTTTTTGCACTTATTTTTGTAAAAAAACAAGGGAAATTTAGAGGAAAAACGGCAAAGAGCAGGTAAAGAGGGTTTTTCACAAGTTCTGTCACAGTGCGAACAGCTTGCATTGCAGCCGACTTGATCCCGTCGCTCCCCAACGACTCACTTGTTAATAAATTTCGTTTGTTTACTCCATTCTGTCCACTAAACGCCACAGCACATTAGCGTCCCTCCAGGCCTCATCCGAAGCTCGTCGTGACAGCATTTTGTCGTCGTCGTCGTCGAAAGAGCTTGCTAGCATCATACCTGTGAGAGTACCCCTGTGAGAGTAAGAGTATCTCAGTAACAACACTAACATGAAATCTCATATCGTTAGGTGTATTATTATTATTGTTATTGTTATGTTATTATTACTATTGTTGTTGTTATTATTATCACTATTATTATTATCATTATTATTATTATCGTTATTATTATTATCGTCATTATTATTATTATTACCATTATTATTATTATTATCGTTATTGTTATCATTTTCATCATCATCATCATTATCATTTATCTTTGTATGATAAGTAACAGCCATTAGAAAGCCAAATCATAAGTGGATGGGCCGAATGAGTAGGTGAAACTTTTAGCAGTAGTTGTCTGTGGCTTCTGAAATTTTGATTTTGTTAAGGTCAGCGTGTGGAGATGCGCAAGTAGCAGCCGCAGCAGCAACAGTATCCAGAGCACGTCAACAACAGACTCGACCAGCAGCTGGTGATTACAGTGGATCAGTGGTAAATCATTCGTTACAACAATCCGGTGATTTCAGCAACAGTAGTAGTAATACATCGAACGCCGAAGCAACACAACGTTAGTATTTTTTTTAGATTTTTATTTTTTTCACTACCAATACTCTAAAACTCTTAAGTCTTCCCTGCTTCTGGTGCCCTAGATAGGCGAGGGGATTGCGGGGAGGCAAAAGGGG